CCCCGGCGGCGCCTGCGCCTGCGCGGGGCGTGGCGCGGCGCGGCGCGAGGCCATGGCGAGGCACACGGTGTCCTCGGCGCGGTTCCGCCGGGTGGATGTGGACGAGTACGACGAGAACAAGTTCGTGGATGAGGAGGAAGGAGGCGACGGGCAAGCGGGGCCCGATGAGGGCGAGGTGGACTCGTGGCTGCGGCAATATCCTTCCGCCGCCGGCCGGGAAGTAGTCCCGGCAGGAGCGGGCGCGGCGGGGAGGGCTGCGGGGAGCGGCGGCCGCCGGCGCTGCCTTTTGCGGGAGCATCCGTGCCCGGCGCTCCCGCCGAGGGGCGACCCGGTCCTGAACCGACCGGAGGGCGGGCAGGGGCTGCGGGGCGGCAGGGAGGAAGGTTCCCAAGGCTGGCAGGAGGAGGGAGGCGCCGCTTCTTCCTCCTCCTCCTCCTCTGGGCAGAGGCGGCGGTGTCTTACGGTGAGGGGCGGGGGACGGGAGGGATGGCGGAAAGGAAAGCGCCTTCTTCCCGCTCCCACCGCCGCCTTCCCGGCTGGCTGGCGGCAGGAGGAGCTCTTCCCCCCGGCCGCTGTACGGTTGGTGCCGCGGCGGCTGTCGGAGGTGGGCGAGATCCGTTCTCGAGGGCTACAGTTTGCGGAAGCGATGGAGAATAATTTCTTTTACTCGGAGACTCATTCAACGAAGGCCCTAAGAAGTATTCTCCAGTACTGGAACTGTACAGCTTCTTTATAGTGCTGCTCCTTCCTCAAATGGCCTAATAATCGCTGCCTTGCACTGTAACCTGTGCTGTCTGTTGAGGGAACCACTGCATCCACTGAACCTTAAGTACTTTCGGTCATACACAAGCCCCCCACAGCCCTCATTGTCCTGGAGCTGGTTCTGTTCATCGCCAAATACTTGGTGTCTGGTCCTTAACCGTCTGGCACAGGGAACATGATGGCTGCGCTGCAGGCGGCTCTGAAGAACCCACCAATCAACACAAAGAACCAGGCAGTGAAGGTGAAATAGTAACTTACTCATAGGTTACTCCTTAAAAATCCTTTCCTGTTTCTGTAACTCTTACCCGACCGACCCTGCCAGGTGTACTTTGAGGAAGCCAAGGAGGCTGGTTTTAGAGTATTCCTCAGTGGCAAAACATCAGTCACCCCCAGTGTTTTACTCTCATACAGAATACCGCAGCTCGGTATGTCCTCTGCGTTGCTTTCATTTGGTGCGAGATCAGGTTTTGTGTGTTCTCCGACCTGCGTAGGTTGTATGTTGTGTGCCCTGGCTAACTCCACGTGTCACTGGGTGCCTGTGTCTGATCCAGACCTGGCAGCATGCAGACATAGTCGGTGTTGAACGATCAGGGAACTGCAGCTGCCAGTAGTCACCGCTGACTAAGGAAACTCTGCTAGCACAGCCAGGCTGTGAATCTACAAAAAAGGAAGAACTGATGGTTATTGCATCCAATCAAAATTAAGCTGTTAAAGCCTCAGAAATCACAAGCCCTCCCCCTGTGACAGAATGCAGGAGCCTGCTGCATGCATGTATTTCTGAATCTCCCCAGAATAAACCTTGAATGGCTCATGGCTGCAGTGGCGAGGGGAGCAGGCAGGTGAGATGTAGAACTTCCCAGGTGGTGGTGGTCTGCTCTTCTGCTGAAGGAGAGTCCCACGGGCATGTTTCTGTGCTGCTCAGCAGGCAAATTTTTTCACCTAGCCCCAGCCCCTTCCTGAGGGTTTTCCCAGGGTTTTGAGATCCAGCTGTTTATTAGAGATAGTGCTGTATAAAAGGCTGAACAGCTTTGTCCTCACCTTAATGGCTTGTTTCCATTAGATCCATATTGATGTTTTTAAGAATACGCTTGGAAGGCAGTGGAATTGGAAGAGGTGACTGAATTTTAATGTTTCGCTTTGGTTTTAGTTCATCTCATGGAAATTTTATGGTTTTACTTAACAGTTCTTCACACCCAAGCAGTTATGGGGTATTAAACAAGAAAACTAACACCTGTGATTTCTGAAGAAGGAAGCTGCTAAAAGTATTTGTACAGTGGAATTATTCAAAAGTCCAACAAACCCAAGACCATTTTCTTTCTTCCTTCCTCACTTAGTGGTGGATGAACAGGAAGAGCTGCTTTTTGCTGATTAGATGGCTAATCTGCCGCTGTAATTGTGCCACACACATTCCTGGGCTTGAAATGACACCCAGATCAACTTGCAGATGGTTATTAATGCAAAATATTAATGCTGCCAGTTTGTATTCTTGGTGCCTGGGACAGAAGTTGACTGTATTGAAAATATATGTCTTCCAGCAGTCACCTCTTCCAGGCTGGCTAGTGGCATTTCCACAGAATATAGTGGTGTATTTCATTAAGCAGTACAAAAGCATGGAAAGGGCTCTGGTGACAAATACTTTATTCTTAGAATTCTTCTGGAATTGCCAGCCCTTGAGTTTCAGTAGGTAAGTTTATTATTTATCCATAACCTCATTTAATAGCTGGAGAATTGCAAACACAAGCAGGCAGAAAACCCAGAGCAGGACAAGTATGTTGAACTTTTTAATGCCGTTTGTCACTGGGAGGATGTATCTGTTACACATTTTATCACAAGCTTTATGTGCAAACTACCCTTCTGAAACAGATTTTGGAATGTTTAAAGAAATCTAGTTTTGTTTGTTGGAGAGATGGGTAATACTTGAAGGCACCTTATACAAGAGTGAATGTATCTCTGCCTTCTTGGTTTGTTGACAGGATCGTGCAGAAAGTATTGTCCTGAAGGTCCTCATCTCTTTCAAAGCCAATGATATTGAGAAGGCAGTGCAGTCGCTGGACAAGAACGGTGTCGACCTGCTAATGAAGTACATCTACAAAGGCTTTGAGAGCCCCTCCGACAACAGCAGCGCTGTACTGCTGCAGTGGCACGAGAAGGTGCGTTTGCCGGGCGTGCTCTTGCCTGGGATAGCCGTGGGGGCAGGTTCTGGGGTGCCAGGCACACTCACCAAGCCTGGTAGGACCCACCTTTCTGCCTGGTGAAACTGAAATGCCATATTTCCCGCTGTGGGGAGGGTACGGTCCTGCAGTAAAAATTTTAATTGCAGTTAAAATTTGGGTTTACGTTAGACTGAGGCAAACAAAATGTTTCAATCCAGTGATTTAAGCGGATGGAAGTAGAATTTCCTTCCTAGAGGGGAGCAAACTTTGCAACTTGGTTATGCAGGGCAATAAAAGCCTGTTAAATAACTGTCTTCAGAGCAAATGCCATCATCCTTTCCTGGCACACCAAGTGCAAGCATTTCGTTTTTAGTGTGGAGAGCAGGGAGACCTCATTTGAAATCCAGTCAGGAAGCCTTTCTGATCAGCAATGAGTTCAGCCTGCAGCTACCTTGACCTGCTGGTAATTGCCGTATTTCTCTTCTCAGGCCCTGGCTGCTGGAGGAGTAGGGTCCATTGTTCGCGTTTTGACTGCCAGGAAAACGGTTTAAATCCAGCAGCGAGTGGTTGTCTGCCATCCACAGCATGGGAAATGCTGGTACGAAAACTAACTAACCAAATGCCATTGCTGCCCTGTGGGCAGTGCCTGTCTCTCAGCTTGCCTTCTCGCTGCTTCTTTCCTAGCTGACAAATAATGCATATCGTGATCTCTTTTTTTGTTAAAATCTGGAAAATTATGAAGGTGCAATTTTATTTCTAACAGGAGCATTTGGTACTCGCAAACATTTCAGTGACATGTATAGCGACATACACAACTTCATGTTTAGGATGATTTGCATTTGTGTATAATTGTGGCAGATTTGGACCTGACCTTCTGAGCAAATGCTGAGGGACGCAGGGTAATGTCTTAATTAATTTCACTAGCCACGCAATGTTTTGATGTAAGAACTATACTTGAGAAGTGGGGCAGCTATTACTGTAGGGAACTGGACCATGTTTCCTTTGGCCAACCTCTGAACTAACAGCCATGAACAGGACAGGAAGCAAAGGATCCCCTCTGACCCCAGTTATCATTCCAGAGAGCTGAGTATTTTCTTTAGCCTGTTCAGGTTCCTTGTGATCAGTCAGATGCTGGGTTCGTGGTGAGAGAGTCACAACGGGACAAAGTTACCCACCTTGCAGTTTGGTTGGTACAGTTTAAAAGGTTGATGGTCCATTTGCGCTGGAGCCCAGCCCAGTGAACTCTTTATTTTGGGGAGCAGAGGTCCTGAAGAGAAGAAGAAACAGCAGCTTTCACACAGCAAATTGCCTTTCAGCAATGTAAAAGTGATTTGTTTTTGTCAAGCACAACAAAGTGACTGCCTGGGGTAATCTGAGAAACTGGTACCCACGCCATCCTTGCAGAGCTCCCACACTTTGTTTTCTAGACGCGTAGGACCTTAAAGGATACCACATGGTTCACATTCCTGTTGCATCGTGCTACAGTGTGTTAGCTAGCGGGCACGTCGGCTTCCAAAATAAAGAGGAGTACTTTAAAAAGAGTTAGGAAAGCCCAGGGCGTCCCAGACCCCAGATCACCGTTGAAGGTTTATGCGTGTTTTACATTCACCATTTTACTGCAGTTGAGTTGTGTAAAACTGTGGGGGAACTTGTGAAATCTTTGCTGGATTTTGATATCTGCTTTTTTTTGTAATAATAATAAAGACCAGACAATAAATCATCACTGACTATTTCCTTGGTGTCTGAAATACCTTGAAGTTTTAGCAGGCTGCTCTTCCAGGATGGAAAATGGTAAAGCTCTAAAACTTCTCCCCTCTGCTGTTTTTCTTGCTAGGCTTCCTTTCTAGAGGTTATTGTACGTAATGGTGATACACATGCAGCTTCATCCGACTAAACAATCTGAAATTATTTTAGTGAGATGCTTGACAAAAAATGTTCCAAATCAGGACAAGACTCTGCTTACACTGAAATTGTAGCCAGAGAGCAAGATCCACTCAACCATTAATGGCAGATGCTTCTCAAGAACAAAAGAAGGGTAATGGCTTAGCAGGGTGGCTGTGTGGAGCAATGCTCCCAATTTCAGGCTTGGGCGTTTGTTTTTTCTTCTGCAAGCCAAGGCTCCAAGAGATTAAACATTTAATCGTTGCCCTGAATAATTTAAGCACAGATAGAGTCCTGGGCTTGTCCCGTGGGAGGGGTGATGGTGCGTGCCTACGTCATCGCTAATGGCACAGGCGCTCAGCTTGAACTTCTGGCAGGCTGGTGCAGGCAGGAGCCTGGTGTTGAGCCTGGAAGGGCAGCTCCTCTTCCTCACCCCAGTCACGGCGGGGGGAAAGTGCCTCCAGACAGCCCAGCCCGGAGCGTTCCCGATGCACCCGTGCGCTCCGCAATCAGCGAGAAGACAGCTCCAGTAAAAGCCTTTTTCCTCTCCATCCCACCTCCTTCTCCCTTGGTTTCCCCAGACGTGTGCAGCTGCATTCACCGTGGGGTGGCCGCAGGCAGGCGCAGGCAACCCGGCCTCCGAGTAGGGCAGTGGAGCCCCCTCATATGGCCTGTCTTGCACCACTGCCCGCTCCCCCGGGGTGCCTGTGAGGGGCGCAGCATCCCACGGCTTCAAGGCCTCGACGCAGACAGGGACCGGTGTGGTTACCCTCAACCATTCGGTGCCCCCTGCTTCCTCCCTGGGATGCCTTTTCTTGCTTAGCTGCTTCAGAAGAACGTAGGTGCAATGGTCGTGCAAAGTGGAAGACCCAGTCTTGCCGCAAAGACCACAGAAAACACCCAGGTTTCAAACATACATAATACATACCTACATAATACATACATACATTATACATACATACATACATACATACATACATACAGACAGACATACTGCTCGGCCTCCTGGGCCCCTGTAGTGATGGCTCTGTCCTTACAGGTCTCCCAGGAACTGTGTTTGGCTTCTCTGTTTCCTTCCATTCATACAAATTTGGTTAAGACACCAATCAATCCTCATTAAAAAAAGAAAAATTAAAAAGCTGCAATCCCATGTAAGTGAAAAATTTATTCCCAAACAATGTCAAAGCAGGTCAGCTACCTCTAGGTGGCATTAGATAAAAAAAGGCAACAAGAAGAGGTTCTCTGAGGTTCTCCAGCTTGCCCGTGGTCTGGGCTATGATGTATTTGGAAACACTGATGAAATGTATACATCTTCCGTATTTGCGTTCAGGGATGTGCTAAAAGATGTGCACCGATGCGGGGGTGATAGCACAAGATTTGCAGGAAGGCATCTCCCGGTCTTCTGTCAGTCCTTTGAGTCATATGGCCCAGCAGGCTTCTAAGGGCAAAACAGAAAAAGATGGGCAGGGAAGAAGAAAAAAATCCCTGAACAACTCAATTTTGCAAAACACATTTCTCCTTCCTACTACGAGAAGGAAGCCTTCAAGGACAAGCACTCCACATGCAGATCAGACCTGCTCGAAGGGGGGTGGCGTTTGCAGAGCTCTGCTAGGCAAGCCCAGCGCTTCCGAAGCTCTCTGGCAAACCTACCACTGCTGCCTCCAGCTTTGGCCTGAGTGTGTGGCAACGGCCCCTTATCGGTCACATCCTGCTTTTGTAACATCCAAGAGAAACTGCTGCCCTCCTGCTGCTCAGAGCAGCAGCCCTGCCAAGCCCTGGGCTCCGAGTCATACATCGCTTGGCTAAAGAGGCACCACGGGCTCTGGCCTCGCTCCCCGCCACCGTTGAGGGTGTGAGATGAAAACTTGGGTCCTGTGCCGGGGGAGCACTCAGACCTGCCCTCCAGGGCAGGAGCTGGACACGTTCAGTCTCCTCTGTTTCTCCTGGGTTATAGATCTCCTCCTCCCAAACAAGATCAAGCCTCTCGGTCTTTCCTCGTGTAATGTTTTCTAGTGACCAGATCAGTCTTTTGGGGGGGGGGTCTCTTCTCCCCAGCAATATCGACAAACTCTTGCATACTGCTGCTGAACAAACTTAAAAGTGACTCCTGCACCTTAGCTGGATTTGGGGCATTTCTACTTCTTTCTTACCTGTCTCTTGGTGATCTGCATTTGTGCTGGATTCCAAGAATCTCCCACAGGAGGTGCCACCATCTCTGTTACTCACTTCCTCTTGGATGTTATCGTAGAAGAAACAGGTTTGTCTACTAAATCGTCTTGGTAAGAGAAAGGGGAACAAGAGACACACTCTTACTAGGAGGGGTGTTTTCCTCGCACCTTTGAAATTCCTTGAATATTACCTTAAAAATAGCCAAGCAGAGGGGTAGCTGCTCTGAGCATTTGCTGTGCTTGCACCTGTCAGATCCCATCTTTCTGTGAAACACACAAAAAAAAATGCAGCACTTGTCACAAGAATGATCTCACATCCTCCTCCAGCTCCCCTTCTACCAGTTTGGGATCAACCTCACCCTACCATTGCGCCAATGCAGATAAGTAAATGAGCGGAAAATGATCCCTACCACGAGGTGAACCATTTCCAACATGACAGGGTTTTCCGTTCCTCAAAGGAATGAGAAAAAGCCTATCAGAGGTGTGTTTTCATGCTTGCCATGTTGTTATTGCTACTTCCCACCTCCAGCATTGCTTTGGCTGGTTGCATTTCCCTCTGCTTTTCTGGAGGTCAGAGGGTCTCCCCCACACTCCCGTAGGAAGCCCTCTGGAGCTGGCTGGGTGCAAGGGGATGCCAAGGGCACACTTGAGAACCAAAGAGGCCCATAGGTTCAGGGATGTGCTCAGTCCTACTTTTGGCTGAAAATCAAGTCCTTGCTTTGCAGCAGCTTGGGTTTCTTCCCGAGCAGAAGACAAACAAAAGCCTCCTCCGCAGCCTCCCTCCTGTTGTGGGCATTATGTAATCTGCCACGGAAGTGTGAGTAAACACATGAGGGCCAAGTCTTCCTGACAGATTTTAAGCCCTTACAAAACACACATCGCATCACTGGTAGATGAGGCAGAGGCAAAGTACTTCCAAAACTACTTAGAAACCACGTGTGGCGCACCCAGCTCCAAACCTTCTGAGTCAGCAGGTCAGACCCCTGCCGTTACTGCCTCTGTGGCTGCCACGTGCCCAGTGTCCCCCTGTCCACCCAGCAGCGTTCCAGACCCCGGTTATGCTCTGCTGGCTATAAAACACCCCAACAGAAATGATGTTGGGCTGAGCATCAGTTACCAGCGTTGCTTGAGTTCAGCACGACACGGCCGCTGCCCCCCAAAACCCCATCCTTGGGCAGCTCTGCACACCCCCAGCAGTGGAGCTCCTCACTGGGGCAGCGCAGCAGGGGACGGGCAGGACAGAGGGTTTCCCAGGCTGTGCCTTGGGCCGTACTTCGCCTTCCCCGGTGCCTGCAGGAAGCATTTAGCAGCTACCTTCATTGAAGACCACACTTTGGAGGGCACAAGGGGCTCAGCTCTTGTTCTGTGGCTTTGCAGCCCTGAATTTGACCTGATCAACCACCCGGCCAACAAAATCCATAGCTTTTCGAGAAAAACTCAGAGAAGCAGAACCCAAAGAGGTGAGAAGCAGCTGCCAGAGAAGACCTGGTGTGCAACCAGTGTCAGCGCAGCATGGAAACCCGCTGCAGCAGCAGCCTCTGCCTCACTTCCCCATCCCGGGCTGTGTTTCACTGATGTGAGTGAGGCCACTTCCTGCCAGGTTTGCGACACAGGCAGCGGGGAAGGCAGAAGTACAGGCAGAAAGGAGCTGGAGAGAGGCTGAGCAGCTCTGCAAGGAAGGACGAGGAGAGGAGCCAACCCAGGACTTGGCCGGGGACCCCACATCTCGCTCCCACTGCGCCATGTCCCTCGTGGAGACGATCCGGCTGTGGCAAGAAGGGGTGTGCGCGGCGGATGGGAAGGAGTGGAAGGCAGCCCTGGATGCCTTCACGGCCGTCCAGAACCCCCCTGCCAAAATCTGCTTTAACATTGGCTGCATCCACCTTGTCCTGGGGAAGCTGGCCGAGGCGGAGCAGGTAAGGTGCAGCCCTTACGGTCGCTACTCCTGCTCGCACCGGCAAGTTTGCACGCAGACCTGCCAGACAGAGGGACACGGTGGGAAAGGGAGGAATTAAGGGCCACGATCTGACTCAGGGAAGGGTTTCAGGGCCTTTTAAAGCTGGGATGAAGTGTGACAGCCCTGGGCTCTGCCTGCTGAAGCTGTTTTCCCGGCAAATCAGAGGTGGAGCAGCAGAAGAGGTGCATGGTTTGCTGCTCACCCTTCCTCTCTCCCAGAGGTGACTGCAGAGGCACTAAGCTGCCAAGTGAGCTGTGGCAGCTGCTTCCAGCTCCATAAAAATTAGAAGCCCGGTACAGGCTCCAACACCCAGTGCCCAGCACTGCAAGGAGATACAGCCCACAAAGTCCCACTTGGCTAAAGCAGGACAGCTACAACTGCTCTACACCCTCAGTTTTTTAAAGGTCTTCTCTTTTTATCCTCTTTTTGCCCCACTCCTACCTCCAAGCAGGCATTCACCCGGAGCATCAGCTGTGACAAGCACCTAGCAGTGGCTTATTTCCAGCGGGGGACGGTGTTTTACCGGAAACAGAAGTGAGTGGAAGGGTTTAAAGTGTCATTTTTGCCACTTGTGGAGATGCCAGCCTTTGGCTGAGGATGGCCCCAGGCAGGTTGGTACCCCAGGGGCCAAACTGCAACCCCTCGAGGTAAAACAGGCTCCTGTTCATCAGCTGCGCTGCCCTAGGATTAACACTAGCCTTGGAGCACCTCTCCCCCTGGGGGGTTTGAAAACACTACAAGGAAATAGGAAAGACCCAACTAAACTCACACATGTTTAAGTAAAGAATTAGAGGCAGGCAGATTGCCACCACGAGGTGGTGACACCCTTGTCCTCTGCTCCACAGCCATGAAAAGGCCATTGAGGATTTCAAAGAGGCGCTGGCCCAGCTGCGAGGCAACCAGCTCATTGACTACAAGATCTTGGGGTTGCGGTACAGGCTCTTTGCTTGTGAGGTGAGAAAGACCTGACCAGCAGTCTTGATCCCAAAGGTCTATTCACCAGCTCAATAAATCTAAGGAGAAAACAGCCAACATCTCTTTGTGCTTCTCAAAGAATCAAGTGAGCTGGTACATTGCCACCACCATGTTGTCCTCTCCTTTCCTGCCCTCCTGGCAACAGTTCGGCTGCTCTAAGATCTCATTTCCTTGCTCCCACCCCTCCGGCAGATACTCTACAACATCGCACTGGTGTACGCCACGCTGGAGGACTGGAAGAAAGCTGAAGAGCACCTGACACTGGCCATGAGCCTGAAGAGTGAGTCCCAGCACAACAAGATCGACAGGGCGATGCAAGCCATCCTGGTAAGGAGGAGCAGGATTTACAGCCGCCGTGTTTGCTCACAGCAGGGAGGAGGGATCCCAGTGACAGAGAAACCAAATTTTAGCTATGGCTTTAGCAGAGCAGGAGAAAAGCGCAGCAAGCTGAGCAAAATGTGGGTGTCGTAGTGAGACATGACTTGGTGGGAAGAGCTTGGCGTCACTGGGGAGGCAGGGATGGGAAGACCATGTCAGGACTGGGGTTGGGCTGTCACGGTGGTGTTGTGACTTTGTGGAGTGAGACCTTAACCCCAGAGGTAGAAGGAAGGGGACATTAAGCAGTCCCTCCCCTCACCTCTGAAGAGTGCCGTGGCTTCTCTGTGCTACAGAAGCAGAAGCTCTGCGAACTGGTGGCCATTCCTGCAGGGAAGCTGTTTAGACCAAATGAAAAGCAAGTGGCTCAGCTGGAGAAGAAGGACTACCTGGGAAAGGCTATGGTAAGGAAGAATTAACTTATTTATTTGGGCCAAGCCTTTGGGTTGGAGGAGAGCTGCTGACCGTGGTCTCACCCACTCTCTGAGCTGCTCTCTGCTGCCTGGTGGGCAGCCCAATATATGGAGCTATATATCAGGGATCCCCTCAGGCGTGGAAGGAGGGATGGCACATAGGGGGTCTCCTGGGGAACAGGGACTCTGCAGGAATAGAGGAACCAAAAGCATGTTTCTGGAAAGCATGACCTATTTTCAGTTTCTCTCCTTAGCAAGTTATGAGGGACAGTGAGTCAGCAATGAGCCAGAAAGGTCCCACTGGAGCTTCAACCCAAGCCAAGATTTTTTGGGGGGAGGGCGGGGGGTGGGCAGGGAAGAAACTATTTAACACAACACCCACAAACAACTTCCAGTCTCTCTCCTGTTCCATTTGAAGGAGGCTTTTCAGCTCAGACAAGAGAGCAAACTTTTCTCCCATGAGTGTGCAAAATCCAGTCACTGGGATGTCGCCTTTGGGCTCAGGTCGTGGGAGGCAACACTCCTCCAGAAAGGGAACCACTGGCTATTCAGGCACTGGGGAATGGGATGACCAAGAGCCAAGCAGTTCCTTGGGCATCAGGGGAACCTGCACACAAATGTTTATGAACTTCCTAAATTATGTTTAAAGTCACCTACAGTAGGTAAGGGCTTGAGTTGGACACTTTGGCTCCCTTCAACATTTGTGATTAAAACATAAACGTTTAGATTGTAATGACTCTAACCACAGTAACAGTGAGGCTAAAAGTTGAGAATTTACCACAGCTGAGAGGTGAGTTTTGGTGCCAGAAGCACTCAGCCAAAGATGCTTAGCCTGATATCACAGCCCCTCTTAAACCTGAAGCATTGTGAGGAACTTGGCTTGGCCAACAGCAAAGAAAGAAGGTGGACATCAGAGGTCTAAGAGAGGTCTTCAAGCACCAAGTCACTACCTGTCTGTCTTTGGCTCTAGGTGGTGGCATCCGTAGTGGACAAGGATGATTTTTCAGGATTTGCTCCACTCCAGCCACAGGTAAGGCACCACCGGTGAAGAGCATCCTTGGCAGAAGCTTGGGAGGACATGGGGATGGGTATCATCCTGCAGCTTGTCAAGGGCTCTGGCTCACAATGGGTAGCAAACAGCAGCATCACCACCATGAACGTCCCGCTACTGCCGCAGGGAGGAGGCAGATGCTGCCCCCACATCTCAGCTGCTCTCTCCATCATCAGAAAGGGCAGCCCAAACCCACCTCTGTCTGTCGTTGAGGTTCAGCTGGTTCTCTGAATGGGGAAGTTGTAGCCTGAGGGCACATCCTCTGCCCCTGCTGTTGCTGCAGCGTCACGGCTGTTGGCAGGGAGATGTCTCAGACCCTCCCTGCCAGATTCATTAGGGTTCAACTGTCTAAGCTTGAGTCAAGAACCAAGAGCAGTTCTGCTTTCATTCTCCATCTTCCTCACAGTTCCCCAAACCCTTTGCATCTTCTGTGACATTTTCCTGATGATGTAGCAGCATCTTTCCATCTCTAAAGGCACCCGAGAGTTTTTACAGAAGCTTTGAGAGGATACGGGGAGGTGCAGCCACTGCGGCCTACAGCACCGTTACGTGACATAAAATACACTATTCTGAATGCAGCCAAGTGTTGTCACCTCACTACAGGAGTCAGACCTATTTCAAGGAGTTTCTTCAGAGGATTGATAAAATCCACTAGAGATGACAAATTACTTAGGCAGGAGAGACCATAAAGCATGATGACAGCAGCAGGAGATTTTATAAGCACAGTAATGGGAAGATACAGGGACACACAACTTAGTTTAAACCACCTGATCTCAAAACCCTGACCTCAGCCCTCTGTGAGCTGAAACCAAAATCACAAATGAAAACAGGATTGTGCCTCTGAAAACCCAGCACAGCTGGAATAATTTGGAAACTGCTCCTCAGAAGGAGCAAAGGCAGTGATATTCCTCATGGCACTTAAGACTCATGGCTTTACACATCAGGGTAGCAGAGAGCTGAAAACCTTTAGGTTCAAATCATCTGACCTGACATCAGCACACGAAGGAAGGAACCATGCAGGGGTGATGGTAGTCATGGTAGAAGGCTGCAGGGCATTTCTATAAAACCCAGATCCTCCGGATTACTGATAATTATCCTTCTGGCATCTCGTTGGCAGGCCTCTGGTCCTCCACCCAGGCCCAAGACCCCAGAAATCCTCAGGTAAGTTGGATGAAGGATGGATAATGCTGCTAACCCATTCACCCATGTCCAACCCCATCCCGCACCATCACAGCTGAGCATCCAGCTGGCACCCAAAACTCAGGGGGGATGGAGTATGGATCATAGAAACGAGGAGGCAGAAGTCTGGGTTCCCCCTACAAAGAAAAACAACTTCCTGACCCATCTGCTGCTCCTGCACCCAGCGCCCTCAAAGGGCAGCCGCATCGTGTCCTGTATGAGTTTGTCCCCGAGACTGCCGAGGAGCTGCAGGTCCTGCCAGGAAACATTGTCTTTGTCCTGAGGAAAGAGAAGGACAACTGGGCAACAGTGATGTTCAACGGAAAGGTACCAGTGGTGTGCTTGGCGGGAGGGGGCAGATGCTGTGAGGTTCTGCAGAGGACTTGCAGGTCAGTGAAATCCATCCAACTTGCAGCAACTAACCTTCAGGCTTCAGGGACTCTCCTGGATTCAGGGTAGGGCAAAGACAAGCTCTGTTGTGTCCTTCAGTGGTGGGTTGCCTCCTTGCCAAGCAATCCCCACTCACGTCTCCTTCCCCCACAGAAAGGGATCGTGCCCTGCAACTACCTGGAGCCCGTGGAGCTCCAGAACAAGCTGCATATCCAGGTGAGGAGGCCCAGGAGGAGATGGGGTCCTAGGGAGGGCAGATCCCCACACATTTACCGACTACCTGTTCTGGGCCTTCCAGCAGGAACCGTACCTGCAACTCTCTCCCCCTCATTGGTTCTTCTGGCTCATGGTCACCGTAACATGAGCTCAGACACCTGCAAAATCAGGGCAGATGCTGTGTTGCTGGCACCCCCAGAGGGGGTTGGCAATGCCGGGGAAATAAGGGGTAGCGAAGTCATCCCTCCCCACTTCAAGACCCCAAACAGACCTCGGGAACACAGCGGGTTTGGGGGGGGCACTCCACGAGGCGGCAGCGCTCCAGCTCCCATAGGAAGGGTGGGATTGACAGCACTCCCTTCTTCCCATCTGGCACAGAGAGAAACCCCCCTTGAAGCCGAGATCCCAGAGTCACCCAGCTCTCCTGCTCCAGAGAAGCCACGGCGGTCACCACCAGGTCAGTGGGGGGTAGCTGGGGGAACTGGGGTACCTTAGGGGAAAAGCCCCCAGAAGCAGGTTTGAGACAGTTTCCTTGCTGCCATGTCCTCATGTTTTGAGACCAGGGATAGGGCTCATCTCCCCCTCCATCCTTGACCCCTTTGCAAGGGATGGGGAGATATTAAAGCACTAGGCAGAGACAGCAGCTACTGCAGTGCTGGGGATGGAGCAAAACAGAGCATGTGGATTCCCAAGGAAAGCAAGTCCTTCTGTGCTCTTAATGGGCACAGTGACTGCTGGGAAAGAGGGCCTGGGGGTAGAACGGGGCAAATGCCCAGCCTGTCCAAGTCCTGGAGTAGAAGGTCCCTTACAGGCTGCGCTAGTTTTAGTGCTGCTGTGAGCTGGGCTTTGGTTGGAAGGAGCTGTGGTTGCCCTGGGAAGGGGATTCCTGGCCAGTGCTACCCCATGTCGCAGACCTGGGGCAGGGCGGGTAGCACCAGGGCCACCATATCACCCCCAGCACTTGGTTCAGGCTGCTGGGAAGCTCAAAATGGCTATTTAAAGCTGGGAAGCGTGTGGTCACAGTGTGTGAGAAGGTGCATGAAACGAAGAGCAGGGAGAAGAATTGCGAGCTGCCCTCTCTAGAAAAACACCACGTGGTGCTCAGAGGTAGGAACCTGCGTCCGAGCTGTGAGCTCCACACTGTTGCAGGGAAAACCCATTTGGGGTAGAATGCCTCAGTGTGCAGAGACTGTGCCCTGTGGGTGTTAACATGCTGCAGTTTATTCTGGCTGTTGCTGGCCAACCTGTCAAAAAACTACAGGAGTATGTGGACAACCAGTTGCCAAGTGCCCTGCTCTGACATGGGCCTGAGCTTGGTGGTGGTGGGGAAAGGTGGACCAAAAGACCACTAATGGCAGAACAGGGCTTGTGGGCCAAGCAGAGTGGCCTCCTAGGCAGGGCAGTGGTAAACCTGATAGAGAAGATGGCTGGGACTTACAGGAGTTAAGCTTAAGGACTCACCAACCTCAAAGAGCAGCTTTATAGCACCAAAAGGCATCACTGATCTACCAGTGGGACTATAACGGTGTAGCTCTATCTCTTCCCGTAATGAGCACAGTCATATCAAAACACTGACAAAGCACAGGAGAAATCTGTCTGCATAAAATCACCCATCCCAGGGGTCTGAATTTAACTTTACCACCCTGGTGAAGAACAGGGACTGCCTCCAGTTTTCAGTGTGGACCTAGGGAGATGAGAAGAGCAAAGATACTAAAACCAGCAGCTCACGTATTTTGTTTGGTTTTTGTGGTGTGTCTTTTTTGGTGTTGTGGTTTTGTTTTTTTTTTTTTTTTAAATCAACACAGGAAAGATATCCCACCCCAAAAGTTCCCATCCCTATAAGAGGGAAGGCACCTCTGCTCAGTGGTTATATCTAAAATCTTACAGATGAAGCCCATTGCAGCTGATGCTGCATCCCTTCAGGGGCCCACCACTGGCCCCAGGATCAGCTGGTGTTGCTGCAGATCATGATGGGTGTTGAGGAGAAGGGCTGCAGGAGGTCTGAATGTGTATTTAGGCACAGAGCAGCAATGCCTACCCTGTCCCACTCACTGAGCCACCTCTTTCTTCCTCCACAGCTTACATTCCTGTTACTGTGATGCAGCTGAAAGATGAAGCAAAGGTAACATCTCACAAATGCTGACCCCTAAGCTCCTCTTGGTGTCACAAATCTGCATTTATTGTACATTGAAAGGTGCTGGCATGCCCAGCAAACACCACAGCCCTGGAAGTGTTTCAGGTTTTCATCATTCAGGAGCTTCTCCAAAGTATAACAACAGGGCTAGAGGCCAGCAGGTCCCCACGACCCAACCAAGGTGACTAGGATTGCTTTTTGGGAGGTGGTCTCCAGACCCACTCCCCAGTGGACCCAGGGCTATCAGCAGAGCCACTGTACAACTCATCGTGGTTGACCCACTGCACTTAAGAAGGGAGAAATAGGGGAGAGCTTGGCTGTAAGGTGCATATGCTCCTGGGCAGGGTCACCACATCAGGTCACATTGAGGATAAAGATGGGAAAGCACAACAATCTCAACTCAAAAAAAATTAGGGGGTTGAAGTGTGGACACACCTCGACTTTGTGGTCACCTGAAAGCCACAGGCTGGTTGATAAGTGCCTAATCTATCACTGGGTTCTCCAGGGACAAGGCCAGGGCTGGCAGCCCAGCTTGGGTAGCACAGCTGCTGCCCTGCCCTGAGGGAAGCACTGAAGGCTGCACACATTAGCAGAGACATCTCCCTGCCCAGCAGCCAGCCACTGCCCCCCAGCTCAGATGTGACTCAGGTGTCGTTTCCATGTCCCAGTACCTCTCTCTGCCCTCACCAAGTCACACAAGCTCTAACATCCTGTTTACCACCTGCAGGAGGCCAAAGCAGCCATCTCCAGCCCCTGCATCCTCAAGGTGCATTACAAATACACAATCGCCCTGCAAGTCGAGCCAGGCCTCTCCTACACAGAGCTCCTGGACCTGGTTTGCAAGAAGCTAGAGCTTCAGCCCAAGCACATGCAGCTGAGGTGAGGTGCTGCAGGGAGCTAGGGCCCATGTTTTCAGGGCTCCAGCCCTTACCCTGTGCCCTCTGCACACCCAGGTACAAGCCTGCAGAGAGCCAAGTGCTGGTGACTCTGAACGCAGAGAACCTGGAGGCAGCTTGGAGCCAGAGCAAGGACAACTGTCTGACAGTCTGGTGTGACATGATGGAGGTCAGTGACAGCTGGTGGTAGCAGCCACCTCTTCTGCCCACTCCTAGCAAGGAACCCCAGCAGATGTTGCCTTGGCTTTCCTTGCGTGAGTGCAGGCTTCAAAGCAACACAGCAACCTCTTGAAAGGCAGAGGAGCAAAGAGCAGGCGAAGAGGAGAAGCAGACCTTCTCTCTCTTACCCTGCAACAAAGAAAAAGAAGCCAAACGGTGTCCTTACCAATTTATTTCCTGCCCTAGGGAGAGGGGTTTTTACTAGACAGCAATCCCGAGGAACAGGGATTGCAGGAGGCAACAGCAGAGGAAATGGGACTAACCCAAGTTGTAGCACAGTATGGTTATGAAGCCACCCAACCTGAAGACCTGGAGTTTCAAGCAGGAGACGTGATACTTGTTTTATCCCAAGGTAACTGTGCTCCTTCCGCAACAGGGGAGGGGAGGGACCTCCCAGCTCTGGTGAGAGCACAGGTCTGAACTTGAAATGCCAAGTGCCTGCAGCAGCTGCTGCTTGGTTCAGTGGAAGTTGTGGGTTCCCCACACATGCCAGTCAGCCCAAAACCTTTCAGGTATTTGGTCAGACACTGGATGCAGTTCTTCAATGGAGACTACAAGCTTCCCTAGGGACTTCAATCTCTTTTCCTGAATCCTCCAGTCCTCCAAAACAGTTTCATTCTGGGGACCTGCAGAGCAACAACCTAGCTCGGGCAGCCTCCGCTGATAGCAAACTTTTCCTGCAAGCTACAGTTTGTCACCTTTCAACAGAAAAGGGGCTGCTCAGATTTCTGCTGCAGGGCACTCTGAGAAAGCTTGCATTGAATGCAAACACCTTACAAGACAGGTTAGAAAAGCAGCTCCCAGAGATTGCATGAGGTGGCAGGTGGAAGCTGGGGGAAATGACAACCTAAGGGACACACACAAGGGTTGCTTTCCTTTGCTCCACCAAGAGGTGTGTCACTGAGCTGCCAGTTCCCAGATTCATGGAGCAAATTTGCTCCATCCCCATGAAGTACAAAAGAAAAAACAGTGAATCTAACCTACTGAGGTGTTTCTAGCCTCTGTTTTTGGCTTGTCCACCAACTCTCTGGAGCCGCAAGGTGAGCAGGACCTAGAGCCTGCAGGATTGCTTTCTGCAAGTGTCCTCTTCAATCGCAGCTGCCCTGTGCTGGAGCAGCAGCAGAGCTCCTCCAGCCCTACCCTGGGCTTCCTACACAAGCCTCAGTGTTATACATGTTTCTGCGATTTTCATCATGCCCCTGTTTCTGCCACCCCCCGCCCCAAACACTTTCAAGATGGGAAAAGTTTCACTTGAGCTGTGTGTTTAAGCTTCCCAACTGCAGTTTATTTTTTGAAGGAGATGCCTCATTTTGGCTGTTGCCCCCCACCATGGGAGAATGCTCTTACTCCCATTCCTCTCATCTGGTAGCTTTTTCTGGCTGGTTTTCTTTTTAAGGGTACAATCTTCCACTAGCCTCAATCCTCTTCAGGATTAGTCTTTAGTGCTTCTAGGAGAATTAAGGCTTAAATACAGACTAAATTTCAAGAAGATCTTTTGAGTTGGATCCTTTCAAGCCTGTGCAGAACACACACAAGGGAGGACAAAGTTACCGTGCTTCTGAAAAAGCTGCCGGTGAACCTGTATCAGGTGAAGAATTACATACAGACCCTGTACTGGGCATCCGTTTCCTGCTTCAGCTGAGCCTCTGAGTGAAATAAAGACATCAGAAATAGATTTAAAGGCAAAAATATGCTGATACTTTGCTATATATAGCTCTATCACTAATTTGTGCCAGCTGCAGGCTTTGGCAGCAGTACACAAGCGATCACAGACCCCCTGTATCACTGTATGGTTGAGTTTTTCCACCATACAACATTGACAGACCACCCCCCCATCATACTCTACCCTTCACTGCTGAGCTAAAGATTTTTCATTTAAAAGTTGGTTCTCACCTCATTTGGTTCCCCACAGGAAGAGTTTTCAGAGCTCCTAAACTTTACTCAACCCAGGGTAGCAGAGGCTTTTAGGTTTTGGTTAGGGTTTTTTGGGGGTTTTTTTGTGTGTGTTTGTTTTGTTTTTTTTAATATGAACATGGAACAGCAGGTGAAAACACTTTAGGAAGAGAATAGCTCAAGGTCTCAGATCATTTCCCTGCCCCCTGCCCTCACCGTTTCCACTGTCTTCTATCCCAGATACTTTCTAAGCCCCATGGTCTTTATTTTGATCTATTTTTCCTACCTTTGTTTGGCAGTATGTTCTTTCTTACCTTACAACTTTGCTCTCTACTTCATTCCTCCACATTCCTCTATCATTTTAGCATGGCTAAAAAGTTTATCAGCAGAAAATCTCAGAATGGTGATCTTGGGCCTGTCTGTAGCCTGTGGAGGTTACAATGTTCCTGTATATCCCTAGAGTAACAAAGATTGTGTTGATTTTATCTTCCAGTGAACAAAGACTGGTTAGAAGGCCAGTGCAATGGGAAGATAGGCATCTTCCCATCTGCTTTTGTTCAAAATTCTAACACTAAAGACCCAGAGATGTGATTTCAGAAGACCTTAAAGTCATGGATGTGGAAAGAAACTAAGAATTCAACTGTTGCAATTAAGTTTCTGCATTAATCACTGCATCTGAAAATGAACTTTAAATGTTATTGCTACTTATATTAAAAGCTTTATTTTTTATTTTACCTTTTGCATTGTTCTCTAAAACAGGTACTTATTAGAAAGTTGCTAATTGTCTTCCTGGTACAAATATATTGAGTCCTAAAACCTGTGCTTGCCAAGAGACTTGCCTTGTCTCACCTGCCCTGGCCTTAAAGCTTTTATACAGACATGCCAGCAGCTGGTAAAACCCATGAGACAGTGCTGCCACTTGCATTTACAGCCCTACCAACAGATCCAGAAGAGGAATGGGTGTCCACCAAGCTACAGGCCAGGGAAGGCCAAACAGCATTTGCTTTCTTAAAACACTACTGCCAACCCCAAAACCTTAAGAGACACAGTGCAACCTTGCCCTGCTCCAGCTAACTCACTTCAAAACCACAGTGACTTTAAACACCTCCCCCAATAAAAGCAGACACATTTTCTTCACCTGTGGGAGCCATATCTCAAAGATTTTTCTCAGCAGTCAAAAGAGACAGTAACTTAGAAAGACAGTGCCTGGAATGTCAGCAGGTCATACAGCAGCAAAGATGTCCCCTCTATAAAAAAAACTTTGATGCCCTCTTCCCTACCCAAGAGGTTTGTCTCCCCTGCCTTTGGCACTACTTTCACAGTATGTCACTTTTTCCAGCTGCTGACAGCTCGTACTTCTGGTGTTTTAAAATTATCTACCCTGCCCTCAAAACATGGGAACTGTAGCTACAGCCAACCACCTACAGCGTTAGGAGCACCCTGCTTCAAAGGTGCTACAGGCAGTGGTTTCCCCACTTGGGATACTACCATGCAAGTTCTGAACAACCCCATTGTCCCAGTGGTCTAATCACATTTATTTTTAAAGGAACTTCTGAAGAGCTGCCTGGATACAATAGACACCTGTCATTTAAAAATCATAACTTGTCTGTAGCTTTGACACATTTGGAAGCACACTGCTTAAAAACTGGCTGCAAACAGGCAGCATCTCAATCTGCAGGCAGGTCAGCAGCAGAAGGATCTGTGTCCTCCAACAGCCCCTGCTTCTGCTCTGCCAGGTTCAGTCTGCAACTGAAGAAGAGCTTTGCAAGCTACTCCCATCCCAAATTTTTGGTTTGGTACGTAAAATGAATTGCACACAGTCAGCACAAACACGATCCAATTATCTGCACTGAGCCCAGGCCAGAATCTCTGTGATTTATTTAGTTCTCTTTCAAACAGAAAAAAAATTGTCTTCAAACCTTCTTCTGACTTCTCCAGAAAAATAACACATTTTTGAAAGCCTGCAGCCAAGTTACACAGGAAATAAATGCTACACAGAGACCTGGATGGAGAGAACATGGTTTAATTAAAGGCAAAGCTGATTTCAGCAGCTGCAGTTCTTGCACAGACAGACAAAAAACACAAAAAAAGCTTACGACACAAACCAGTTTCTGTTGGGGGCCCCTTCCCTCGCTCCCCCAGGCGTTGAGGGCTGGAGGGGAGTCCCAGCTGAGAGTCGGCCGCATTCCCGAGGCTGGATGCTCATGCACAAGTGGAATGGTGCGGCTGGGACCCTGGCACTGCCGGGAGTGAGATGGTGAACCTGGTTAGCTCGTCTGGGGTGCAAGAGTCAGTGACAGTTCAAACACTGGAATGTCGCAGCTGCTTGGGTGGACAGCTCGATACACAAACTGGAAGGGCTGCAGGGAAGTACAGAGGGGTTTGGTTCATATTACCACTGGGTGAGAACTTAACTTTTTGGACTTTTTAAAGGAAATACAGCTTCAAAATGCAACAAAGAACAGTGATGTTGCCAAGGTGGAGATCATGGGGGAGCTGCTTGTACCCCCGGAGGGGTATTGTGTCTCCTCCATCTTCCCTTTTTGTATTCTTTGGGGCTGCCCAGAATCCAGTGTCACTTCAGTTCCTGTATGTGCTTTGCTCTGCAGCTGAGCTCCAGCTCAGAGATACTGAATCATCACACAAACCCCTACTGCTAAACACAGCAAATGGACATTGAGATTGTTTCCGTAACTTCCCTGGAAACCTAAAAATGCTGTCCTTTTCTTTAACGAAGCTTCCAGTCTTCCTTCCCCCAAATAAATAGCAAATAAAACATTTTCCTTTTCCCTTCTGCACCTTTTCATCTATGAACAGCACTTTGCTTTCTTACGTGTGTGCTACACACGTGTCCACAGGCGCTTTGAATTTAATTCTAGAACTGAAAGTTGGGGGCTGCAGCTGGGAGGGCATGGGGGGACGGGTTTCTGCAGAGCTGATGTGTGCCTGTGGGAGTGCGCACACTCCACGCTGTCCAGGCTGACTGTCAGCTTTACCCAGCCCTGCTGGACCCCTGATTATTGTCTACGAGATGTTGTACATTGGTAATGAAACTACTAGTGTCCAGTGAAGATGGGAGGATGGAGAAAGAAAAAACAACCCAAAAACCAAAAACCATTGAGAGCTTTCTACCTACTTATTAAAATGAGTCAGGCTGTGAATGCACAGACTAGCCTGGCCTTTGTGGGGCTAGCCACTATGCTACAGTAAAATGTACAGGAATCAAACATTAATTTAAAACCCCATAGCAGTTAACTTGCTCATCCAGCAGTGCTGCAATGCCCCACATCACCAATTATAGCTCAAACACCTACTGCGAGGAAGGCATTTCATGCTGGAGTCTCTAACCCACCCACAGGCTGGCCAAAGCCTTTGGGTGAAAGGTGAAGTGGTGTCAAGTGCCAGACTCTCCTTCATGAAACTCCTTTGCTAGCCCAGCAGACAGAGCCCCGCCTTGTCACCAACCACCTCTGACCGGAGCAGCAACTGGGGCTTTCATTGCTACACACTGACTACGAAGCACGTCTGTGTATGGAAGAATTCAGTGTGATCTTACTACTGAGACAGTAATAAAGACGTTTAGGAGTAATTTCAATTACATTCTCAGTCAGCAAAGCAACCATTAATGGATTCCTATTTTATCTCCCCAAAGAGAGGAAAAGGATTGAGAAGTTCTCATTGGCTTCTCCCATCTGCCCTTCATTCTCAGCTTTTACTTCCCATGTGGCTGGGGACATGCACAATGGAGAAGGTGAGAGGCGGTGATATCGGGTTACTGAGTGAGACAAACAGCAGTTCCTCTCTCCCTCCAGAGGGCCCAGGGATGGGAGAGTTCCTGATGTTGTTTTCTTGCACTGCAGACGTTTTGTGCACACTCAGTGGGTTGGTGGAGCACTTACGCCCTCCTGACAGCAAGGAACGGAAAAGAGGGCTGCCACCTGCACAGGACTGTGTGGGCCAGTCCTGCAAACCCAACATGCCATGGTTTATGGAGCCTTCATTTGCAAGGGTTGCCACCTCTGTCTCAATGCGGCGGGTTCATGGTGCCTTGTCCGCGTTGCTGCTTCTGCTTCTGCTGCATTAACAGCTGCTCCAGGGCTGAGGGTCCAGGGTGCATCATGGAACTGGACCAGATGGACTAAAAACAAACAGCCAACACTAGCACCTCCTTGTGTTAGACAGTCCCCCTCTTACAGATGAGAAAGCGGAGACAGTTTTCTATATCCTCCTCTTTATCACTCGTCTCTGACTTTCATGATAAGTCATCCAGACTTCAAAGAAGGCCTGCTCTAAAGAGAAGCTCCCTGGAAGCAGCTTCTCCTCCAACAGAATCCCCATTGCCATTAAAATTCACCCCACATTAACAATTACTAGTTTTAGATTGTCAAAGGAAACGTTATAATTTCTTCCAGTTCTGCCAGCCTGGTCTTGTTCCACAAAATATTCTAGAACATCAAGAACTGGAAAACTGCAACATCTTCCAGCACTGGTCACACCTCCCACATTGCCTGCGTAAGTGAATCTGCAGGAAAAGCCTTCCGTTTCTGACACTGAATGCTCGCAACAGGCTAATGCCCATCACTGGATCATCTGGCCCCTAAGTCAAGCACCCATTCCTGAGCAGTTTCAGTCAAACATACCTTCAGGCTCTCCATAAGCACAGCTGAGGAGTCCTCCATAGCAGGAGGGCCTTGGGCTGCCCAGGTGCCACTGGGAGTGCTGGACTGGTGCCAGCTGCTCTCCGAAGATGATGATGTTGCTGGGAGATAGTCCAGACCAAACCCTCCCATTGCTAAAACAGGGAGAAAGACAAGTTCAAAGGAACATAGCAAAACCACTGTGAAACAAACGCCACCAGCCAGCTTCGCGCAACCCTGGAACCCAGTACTTGCCTGGCTTATCTGTTTTCCAGCGGTCTGCGACTCTCCTGTCTCTGCTGTCTGGAGTCCCGATAGGTCCGAAGTTGGAGAAGGGAACAGAATTGTGGTTATGGGTTGGAGGGGAGCTTGGCAAGCTGCTGGGGTTGGAGGAGTGAGGAGACTGGCTGGCTGGTGTTGAATGATCTAGTGATTACAAGGTAAGAGGAAAAAGGTCAACAGAAACAGCAGGAGCCTCCTGATTTTGAATTTCTTAGTGCTGGTGCAAATTCTGCCATCACCCAGTTTTCTCCAATGCTGAAGGTCAGTTTTTATCCCCTCCATTATAGAAGTGTAGTCCAAATTCCTAAGTTCTGAGTGAAAATGAGAACAGAATGACTGTTTAATGCATACATGTGCTTACCAGAAAACCCAAAAAGCAGGAAACCTCAAGAGGGCTGGCCAGCCAAAGCAAGCTTTCCCCATGCTTCTTGAAGAACTTCTCAAACTAAGAAAAAATATCTGTCTCCAAGCTTGACAAACCAATTAAAAAAGACATTAGACCCTAAGGAGTTTTCAAGTTTACAACTTGAACTCCCAAGTCTGTGAATGCTTACACTTCTATGAGTCTTAAAGCAATTCAGAGCAGAACCCACTACTGAGCAAAAGAGGAGAGCAAGCATGGAAAAGCCTGTCTGCAGGCAGGAGCACGATGCCTGAGACAACACAGCACAGCAGGGTGGCAGGAGACTATGCACTCTTGAATGCTGAGGCAAAGGGAGAGAAAGCTGAAGCCATGTGAGCTCTAAGTCCTGCTACAATAAAAGCACTTTGCAGCTCCTTCCATTTCCCCCACAGCGGCAATTTCTGGCTG